ACTGCACTCCAGTCTGGGTGACAGAGTGAGACTCCAACTCAAAAAAAATAAAAATTATACATTGAAAAAACTCAAACCTTAAATGTTTTTGTCATGAATCTCCATTCTCCATTGGGACTTTAGAAAGAGTTTCACTGATAAATTTTTGTTTGGTCCTTTCCTAAAATGATGGCGGGCAATTGCTTTCAAGCAGCTTACATTAAGATGGTTGGTGTGAGGTCTTTTGGAAGGACACTGAAATCTTGGTTATAGACTGAAAGCTACTAGAACAAACTTCTAGCATGTGTATGAAGGGAGGGAAGGGAGGTAGTACACCACCAAGCCGTACATTTAGCCACTTCTTTTTTGGGAGAAGCAGAGAAAGTGAATCAACTATCTTATCAAAACTCTCATAAAATATGAAAACAAAATATTCATTAAACAAAATAGAAAAAAAATAAGTGAATAACCTTTTTTTGATTAAGGAAGAAAAATATGCAGCATTGTTTACATACAAGGAATTATGCTAATCATTATGACAATACAGAGTTTCATAAGACTCTGACCTTAAGCTATTTATTTATTGTCCAACAGGAAGAAAGGATAGGTATAAAAAAGAATAAAATAAAAAGTAACAAGTCCTAAGAGAAGCAAAAGACAATGCACTGAGAGTTCAAAGGAAGAACAAGACCACATACATGGAAGGGCAGTTTGAGATTTTTTTTTTTTTTTTTTGAGTTGGAGTCTCACTCTGTCGCCCAGACTGGAGTGCAGTGGCCGCTCCCGGCCACCACAACCTCGCCTGCTGGGCTCCGGCGATCCTTCCGCCTCAGCCTTCCAAGTAGCTGGAATTACAGGCATGCGCTACCACGCCCGGCTGATTTTTTGATTTATTGTAGAGATGAGGTCTCGCTGCCCAGGCGGGTCTCGAACCCGCGGGCTCAGGCAATCCACTCACCTCAGCCTCCCAAAGGCGCGGGATTACAGGCTGAGCCACCGAGCCCAGCTGTAGTTTGAGATTTAAAAAACAGTGTCACTACAATTTTAAGAAAATTTAAAAATATATGTATAAACCAATTAAATAATAAACCAATTAAATAGCACTTTTAAAAAAGAAGTTTGTTAGAAAACAAGCATGTGTTTTTATACCATTAATAAGTATCTTTTTCTCTTGAGTTTCACTCTGTCACTCAGGCTGCATGCAGTGCAGTAGCATGGCTACTCATGGCCACCACAGACTTGACTTGTTGGGCTCAGTTGATCCTTCTGCCACGGCCTTCCAAGTACCTGGAACTATAGGTGGGCAACCCCACACCCGGCTAAATTTTTTATTTATTGTGGAGCCGAGGTCTCGCCAAGTTGCTCAGGCTGGTCTCAAACCCCTGGGCTCAGGCAATCCTCTTGCCTCAGCCTCCCAAAGTACTGGGATTACAGGTGTGAACCACTGTGCCCAGCCATGTTAAGTAATTTAAAAATTAAATTATGCTGACATTCTTTATACATCTAAACAGATAAGAAATAAGAAGGATATTGAAATATTTAATTTCACTAGCTACCCTGCCATTTAATTCTGGAGTAGGAATGGGGATTTAATAAAAAGGAATGTTAACACAATCAGAACACTGAAAGCAAAAAAGTACAGAATGGGAAGTATTTACAATTGAATTTGAAAGTACATATTTATAGGGAGATTAAAAAGGAGAACAAAGCCTCGTGTAAAACTTACCAACATAAAACGAACAGTTGGAGTGCAATAAGCTTTCAGTCCATAAGCGACAAAGTTCACTCTCGGTCAGAGCTTCAACTCCATAACAAGCTTGATACTCTACTTTTGGTAGCACATAAACTGGAAATTGCTGCAATGCAAGATTACAGTTTTTCAAAGCTCCATTAATTTACTATAAACAGCAAAGTCATTTGCCTATATATCTTTGCACTTTCAAAGAAAAGCTTTACGGCAATCATATTTCATCCCTTCAATTAGAGCAGAATTCAGACAGAAAGGTGGATACATTTGAGCTTGACAGAAAAGCCTTGGATAGATGCAGGGAAGAGGTAGGTGGATACAAGAGATTCTCCTTTGTACCCCATCTACAACCAAAATCAGCATATCCCCACACATGCACATTTTGTTTCTCTTAGAAAATGTAACTGGCAGCAGAATTCCTGGAGCAGAGCCTACATGATGGGCAACTACTCACAGCTTCAAAGCTAGTCTCTGGGAAGCAACAGTCGTCACAATACACTCATCATTCTCAGGAAGGTCAAAGAGGTAAGAAAATTTTGCTCACTGAAAGCATGGGTCACACTGTCTGAGGCTCAAATACTCTGAGCAGCCTGCTCTTATTTTATAATTGAATGAGTCAAGTATTTTTATATATATAAAAAAAACCCTGGGCTCAGGCAATCCTCTCGCCTCAGCCTCCCAAAGTGCTAAGGTAGATGTGTGTGTATATATATATATATATATATATATACCTACATTAACACCTGTGAATGCCATTACCTTCCTTCACATAAAGGCTTTACTTCAGACACAAAATATCTGACAAATTATCTATTCAGAGGTCACTGGGCAAGACACCACACAAAGTAAATGCCCGTACCTATCCTGGTCTAAAGGAGGACATGTGAAGAAACATACGTGTGTGAAATAATGTTAGTTGTGCTCACTGTGCTCATGCTAACGCAATCTGTCAAAGAAAATGCTACCCAACAGAAGTCGCTTCACTTCCAGCTGCAGAAGGAGATACACATGGTTTAGGGCAACATGGCTAGTGAGTACCTCTGAAATTACACTAAGGTGTAGCCATTTATAGATTAGAAAATATTTTGTCAATGTTTCTAAGTTCCTGATTTGCACAATGTGGCAAACTTAGTGGGCCTGGCACAGTGATGGTAGTAAGACCGATCCAATCCAGCAAAATTTCTGTTATCAAAAATAAGTATGGTTCATATGCCTTTGAATTTTGTAAAACTGTAAAGCGGTGCTTCCTAAATTTCAATGTGCATATGAAAAGCCCGTCAATCTTGTTAAAATGTAGACTCTGGAACAGCTTGCATTAGCAGCAAGCTGTTGTTCCAGGGACCATACCCTGAGCAGTAAGGCCCTGAATGCATCTTATCAATGATAAATAAATTGTGATTAGAATAACTTTATTGTTAAAAGCATTTTACTTTACAGTAATTCTTCAGCAAATGGTTATCTGTATATGATTTAGTTGTTTACAACTTTAGAGCAAACAGGACTTGGAGATCAAGAAATGAAGACCCAGCAAGTTAAGAAATTAGCAAAGACACATAGTTGGTTTGTGGCAGAATTGGGGGAAAAAAAGTAATTGATATAAAAAGATCTCCTTTATTGGATCGCTTATGGGTAACAGAGTTAACTCTATGTATTTCTTAAAAAAAAAAAAAAATACCATTCCTGAAAAGGAAATATTCTGAAGAATTTTCTTTGATAATACTATCATAACTACAAAACTACATCCTAAATCTGATTTCAATTTCTGGATGTATTCTACTGCCATCTCCAGGAAGCCAGGGGGAAAAGGGTCGAATATTTTATCTTTTCTTAATATTCCAAAACTGAAATGAAAATTTAAGTACAAATTTTCATACTGTGAAAATGAAATTTGCTATTTTTTCCCCTTAGTAAGTGGCTCCTGTTCTCCCGAAGTGAAAGCTTTCTTGTTTCTCCATCTTCTAAGTTTTTACTGAAAACTTAAAAAATTTTTTTAACACATGGCCATTGCCGTGCTAGACTCTAGTGTGGCCATGTGCTCTCTGAGCTATGGCTGTTGCTATGCTTCCTCGCTTTGGCCCATTCCCCTACCTTGGGGAGGTAAATATTCTCTTTCTCTCTCTCTCTAATTTACTTTTAAATAAATTGTATTTTTTAATCTTAAAAAAAAAAATTTTTTTAACACACGTTCCTAAACAGATATTCCAGAGCCAGCATCCTCTCATTGACCTCATCAGGTGCCTTCTTTTCTTCCTAACATTTGATCCCTTTTTTGCTGGTACTAGAACGCCAATATAACTGGACCTAAATTTTTTAAACATTGTAAAATATAGTACTTAGGATATTTGGCTAAGAACAGATAATATGAAATTCCCCAAAGTTACTTGAGTTGGATTTTATAATTATGTGCAGAACTCAGTAAATTCCAGCTTCATCTTATGGTCCAAATTAGCCTCTTCCTCTCATTCCATCATTTGAGACTGGATGCTGTTTTAAGTTTTCCTTTGAAGAACAGTTCTTATTAAGCAGAGTTTTGATGAAGAAGCATAAATGATACTGTAAACTAAAATCTCAACTACAAGAACTGATGTAGAACTGGGGAAAAACAAAGGAGAGATGAGGCTCTTGGATATTAGGGGTTGAAGAGACTTCTAAATATTTTAAAGCTTTATCTAAGCAAGTTTGTTCTTTAAGTAGGAAATATTAATAAAAATATATTCTTATCTAATTCATTTAAATAACACTACTTTAAAACTATTCAAATTAGTGCCAAAGTCTCTCTAAAGTTTCCTCCCTGAACAATACTCCCATCACTCAACCTCTCCCTTTTTCTCATTTATTCAGTATCTATTTGTTGAGTTTCTATGGCATAAAACATTTGGGAGAAACAGAGATGAACAGGACATGATTCCAAGGGGCATACATTCTTCTAAGGGATTTAAACCATGTGTACTGAACTGTTATACTTAATAATAGGTACAACATAATCAGCATTCACTTAAAAAAATTTTTTTTGAGTCGGAGTCTCACTCTGCCTCCCAAGGTGGAGTGCAGTGGCACGCTCACAGCCATCACAGCCTCGACCTGCTAGGTTCAGGGGATCCTTCTGCCTCGTCTTTTAAGTAGCTGAAACTATAGGCAAACGCCACCATGCCTGGCTAATTTTTTGATTTATTGTAGAGAAGCGGTCTTGCCATGTTGCCTAGGCTGGTCTCAAACCCGTGGGCTCAGGCAATCCTCTCACCTTGGCCTCCCAAAGTGCTGGTAGGGTGGCAAGAGCCACCATGCCCAGACTGAAATTTTAAAAATTTCATTCTGAGTTTGACATAATCAGAAATGTAAGGCTTCTATTTAGATACTATTTAGGGCTCAACTGTTTTGACATCTTTTGATGAAGAATGAATTCTCTTCTATAAGCTTATGTCTTGACATTTACAAATTTCACTTTAGTCAAGAAAATGGGGCCGGGCTTCGTGGCTCAGCCTGCAATCTCACTTTTTGGGAGGCCGAGATAAGTGAATTTCCTGAGCCTGCAGGTTCCAGACCTGCCTGGGCAGCGAGACCTCATCTCTACAATAAATCAAAAAATCAGCCGGGCGTGGTAACGCATGCCTGTAATTCCAGCTACTTGGAAGGCTGAGGCGGAAGGATCGCCGGAGCCCAGCAGGTCGAGGCCACTGCACTCCAGTCTGGGTGACAGAGTGAGACTCCAACTCAAAAAAAAAAAAAAAAAAAAAGAGAGAGAGAATGACAATATCCCTACCAAGTTGTTTTGTTAAAGAATTAAATCAGTATCCAAAATTTCCCTGGGCTATTCTTACTTAAGATACTGGCCATCAGCAATTTCTCAGTGTTGTAAGCTAAAAAAGAAATACAAAGTAGTATGGATTCATGAAGTAGGAAGTGAAAGAAACTCATTCTAGACCAAAAATAAATCAGAGAGATAGTAAGTAGGAATTAAAAAATTAAAACCTTGAAAATACTATCTATAGGACACTATATATATTCAAGACATTCAAGTTTGTAGCTATTTATCACAGTTAAATACAGATAACTCAGCCAGGCTTGGTGGCTCAGCCTGTAATCCCGCGCCTTTGGGAGGCTGAGGTGAGTGGATTGCCTGAGCCCGTGGGTTCGAGACCCGCCTGGGCAGCAAGACCTCATCTCTACAATAAATTAAAAAAAATCAGCCGGGCGTGATAGTGCATGCCTGTAATTCAGGCTACTTGGAAGGCTGAGGTGGAAGGATCGCCAGAACCCAGCGGGTCAAGGCTGCGGTGGCTGGGAGCGGCCACTGCACTCCAGTCTGGGCGACAGAGTGAGACTCTAACTCAAAAAAAAAAAAAAAATACAGATAACTCAGGGAAAAAAATGAGCAAATAAAGTAGAATATTTTAATTCAGAGGATACTAGCATTTATCTAAGATGAGACTAATATCAAACCTATATTATTTTGTCATTCCTGAATTTTCTCTTGTAAAGTGCACAATTTCCTTTCATTTAATTCAAAATCATTTGGTTTCTAAAATTTCAAGTTTGGGCCAATGATAAAAACAAATTGTGAGAATGAGAAGTTTAATAATGTAGGAATTTGATAATTTATTCACAATCTTCCTTCTATTTAACAAAAATCAAAAATATTCAAGCAAAAGTTCTACCAAGTCCACTGGATTTTAGTGGACAAATGTACATCCTGGATCTGGATGCCTTACAGTTAGTCATGGTAGCGGGCATTTCTTTTATTCCCAGTTACTCTTTAATATGACATGGTAGTCCTGGAGTACTCCACAAGGAACAATGCTGGAACACCACTATTCTGACACTCTAAAGTAGTCAATGATGATTTTTATTGTGCGGTGGGTTAGGTGATGTGTGGGTCTGATAACAAGCAAAACTTTAAATAGCAAAATATACTATGACAAATGTACATGACAGAAAATATCCTCTTAAGAAAATGAAAAGACACTTTAATGTTTATTACATAATCAGTTAAAATATAGAATATTCTCTTTATTTACCAGAATCCAGTAGTCATACACAAAAAAATTGAATCTGAACAAGAACTTCAAATATCTAATTTGAAAACATGTTGAAAGAAATAATTATTCAAATTGCAGAAAACACTTTCCCCCCCCCATGAAAATACTTGTATCATACACAAAAGAAACAATAGGAGAAAAAGTGATTTACCAGAACTGGAAAGACTTCAAATGTGTGTGGAAGCCCACCTTTCAAAACTTAGACTTTTTTTTTTTTTGAGTTGGAGTTTCACTCTGTTGCCCAGACTGGAGTGCAGTGGCTGCTCCCGGCCACCGCAGCCTCGACTCACTGGGCTCCGGTGATCCTTCCGCCTCAGCCTTCCAAGTAGCTTGGAACTACAGGTACGTGCTACCATGCCTGGCTGATATTTGATTTATTGTAGAGATGAGGTCTCGCCAAGTTGCCCAGGCGGGTCTCGAACTCACGGGCTCAGGCAATCCACTCACCTCAGCCTCCCAAAGGCGCAGGATTACAGGCTGAGCCACCGAGCCCGGCTCAAAACTTAGACTTCTAAGGTGAGCCAAGAAGAGTCCCAAAGTAAGAAAGAAAGGGGCTTACATGTCATGATGGAAATCCAAAATCAGAGAAAATAGGAATACTTGTGACAAGCTAGATCCAATCTGTCATGGTGCGATTTTTTGGTTGTGCTGATACAGGCTGAGTATCCCTTATGTGAAATGCCTTGAACCAAAGTGTTTCAGACTTGAGAATTTGTATGGATTTTGGAACATTTACACACACAAAATCAGATACTTTGGGGACAGAACCCCAAGCCTAAATACACAACTCATTTGTGTTTCATATACAGCCTGAGGACAATTTTATACAATATTTCACATAATTCTGTGCATGAAACAAAGTTTTGACTGTCTGGACTGTGACCTGTCACATGAGGGTAGATGTGAAGTTTTCCACTTGGGTCATCGACATCAGTGCCCAAAAGGTTCTGGGATTTTGGAGCATTTTGGATTTTGGATTGGGGATGCTCAACCTGTATATTCTGTACATAAACGTTACTGGCATTTATGATCATTATATATAATTAAATGTGTTCTCTTATTAAAACTGATCTCAATATTTCAGTAAAAAAAAAATGCAACCTGGAAATACATAGACATATGATGAATGATCAACAATTTAAAATTAAACTTCATAGTCATGGCATGTTAAATATTAGCTAATTATTTATGCTAACACATCCTAACTCCCAAAATAACAACTTACTCTTCTGATTTTCTTCCGTTTTTTAGAACGTGGTCTTGTCTCTATCCTCTGGACACTGCAACGCACGAGTAACAACAGGTCTTGCAGGCTAAATAACTTATAAACAAAATTTCCTTCCTGAGGAGCTAGATATTCCGATGTATCTTCAACATAGTCCTGAAGTTCATATGGCAATCCTTTAAAAATAATATTTCTCATTTTTATTTGAAAATGCATTAGCTCTTTATCCATCATCAGCCAGGATAAAACAATGAACTATTTTTAAACTTCTATCAGCTTTAACTTTCTATTTCCTCTGCCTAAATGACTCTCACACTATTAGCATTTCTCTTTAATTTTACTGGAACTAAGGGCAAGAGCTGAAATCTAAGCTTTTTAAGGTTCTCTTCCTTTTTAACTCTAGGCAAAGTATAAATTAATGAGACTGCATATCACGTGAGAAGAAGAAGAGCTTAAAAAGTAATGTTATTCCTAATCTAGGCAGAGTTGAGGAGCAGATTCATCTTTTTCACAAGATTAAAAAGTATAAAACTGTAATCTAACACCAAGCATAAATGACTATTATTTTCATTACTGTTATTATTTCATAGAGACAGGGTCTCATTCTGATACCTAGGCTGACATGCTGTGATGCAGTCAGTCTCTTGGGCTCAAGTGATCATCTCCCTTCAGCCTCCCGAGGAGCTAGGACTACAGCCATGTGTCACGATGCTCAGGTACTTTTAAACAATTTTTGCAGACAAGGAATTTTGCTATGTTGTTCAGACTGGTCTCAAACTCCTGGGCTCAAGTGATCCTCCTACCTCGGCCTTCCAAAGAGCTAGGATTACAGGTGTGAGCCATGTGCTGGTCCTGCTTATGCTTATTTTTTATGTACTTCCTCTTCATCACTTTGGTGAACCACATTACCTATGGCTTAGTAGCCACTTAGATAAACATACATTACAAAACCTACACATCTTTGGGTACATATCTAAAGAAGACGTTTTGGAAGCTGAAATACTGATTGACAGATTGAAAAATGAAATATCAATGACTATATGTAAAGATCACAAAACAGGTTGTAACAAAGAGCAAGTGAAGGAACGAAGGAAGAAAACTCAAAGAAAAGGAACAGGTCAAAACAGTCTAAGTCCTTTGAAAATATTTACTTACGTCCTTTTGGCTTCTGGAATGCAGAAGGCCATCCAGATTTGGGCCAACTGCAGGCATCTGAAGGACTCGAGCCTTGCTCGGAAACAGAAGGTTGTTTAGAATTTTCTAAATTCATTAGGGGCAATTCAGGTGCTCTCCTGAAAATTGGCTTCAAGAGCTCATCTTGCATTTTTAAAATCTCTCCAACTGGATCAAATTTTTTATATACTCGTTTGATAGGTTTTTTTAAGACACATGATTCTTCAGGACTACAAGTAGTATTAGTCTGGTTTCCTACAGGAGCCTGTCTTGAGGAAGAACTGAGGGTTGCTGGTTCAGAATTTAAATTAGTACTCATAACAGCTGTTTTTCCATTACTATTATGTTCACACTCTGTATCAATAATTAAACAGTCCTCATCTGTATCACTATTACAAGAAATGACGTCTTCAGTTTGAGCTGCTTCTGCTGTAACAGTCTTTTCCTTTGCGTTTTCTAGAACACTTAGTCTTTGACTATCAGCAAGTGTCATATCTGAGGCTACATCATTTTTACCAGAAACTTCAATTTCCTTAGTGCTTTCTAACTGTAAGGCATCAGATGTTGTCAAGTCATTATCTTGCATCGAAGTCATGTCAGAATTTGATACCTTCTCATCACATGGTTGAAATCCTTGGTCATCTTTATTTTTGCACTCTTCTGGGCCCCCATCCATACCGGTGACCAGCTGTTTCTCCTTTTGCAGTTGTTCCACCAGAATCTGACATAAACTTCTGGAATCAGCAGAGATATCTGGTGTACTTGGTGTCACAGGTGTAGCTGCTGCTCTGGCGGCTGTGGGAGTGTCTGTCATGCTGGGTATTGTGGAAGTACCTGCTGGACTTGGTGACTTTGAGGGCTTGGTGGTGGTTACTCCAAAAGTTTCAAGTTCTGTGACATCATTATCAAAACCCAGATCCAAACTTTCAAGAGTTTCAATTTTTCTGCATTCATTAACTTCACAGGATGTCTTAAGAAAACACATTAGATTATTAGCAAAAATTTCAAGTCACCCTCACCTATCTCTTAATGTCCCCAATCCCTCATCCATAGTTCATGCTTTTAAAGCAGAAAGAAGGGTCTAATAGCTCTAAAAGGTTCTTGCTTAAGACGACAACAAACTACTAGAAACTATTTAACCTTACCTTCCCATTGAAATGTTCATGAAAACAGACACACTTGTTAAGCTGTATAGCACAGGAAACAAAGAATACTTGTGAACTATCATATCCCACAAGGAATTTCAACTAATTAGACAAAACCACAACAAAGACATACCGGGCTAAACAGGGAGGCAGTAGATTCATTTAGATCCACTAATGACAACTTTCAGTAATAAAAGATAGGGCAGAAGTAGAGAAAGTGGTTTATTGCATTCTGGGACATGAAATCCTTAAGGTTTCAGTTTTTCATGCACTGTTCTGATAATGGAAGAACTATACACAGCTTTGACGTATTCAGGAACAAACTGTACTCTCTACAAGTAGACAGACAAGCATCAGATCTCTTCTCAATCTGGCAGAGCACTCTAAGTACCATGGAAATCTGGTTACGGGCTATGCATTCCCACTAGCCTTTCGGTTTAGGATTTGCGAGAAAGACTATAACAGCAATTCAGGTAAGAGAGATCAATCCATGAAAGTTACTTAACTTCAATTTCCTCATCTCCAAATTAGGTATAACAGGGCCATCTTGGATCTGTTCTAATGATTAAATGAGAAATTATATATAGAAAGTCTTTTAGCATAGTGCCTGGCACATAGTAAGCAGCCATTCAGCAAATGGCAGCACCTACTAAAATAAAAAGACTACCAAATATAGTAAAAAATAAATAAAATAAAATAAAGTAGAAAAAAGGTAAAATTAAGCAATATGCTGCCTACAGGGGACATTCCTACAAAAAAAAAGTTTCAAGATAAAACAATTAGAGGTGTCATCAAGAAATAATAAGAGGAGAAATAGCAATATTAGTGCTAGACAAAGAAGAATTCAATGCAAAAAGCACTAGATAGAAAATGAGGGATGTTATGTTGAAAAAAGAAGAAATCCATGATGAATAGATAATGGTCATGAACTGTGATGTGCCAAACAACATAAAAATATACAGTCAGACTGAAAAATATAAGAAAAATCTGGCAGAAACATAGCTGTACTTGGTCAGTGATACACTGCCTCTAAGTTAATAAAAATAAACAGGGGGAGATCTCCCGTGGAGAGGTATGGGATTGTCTCTTCCCCAGATTAAAAGGTGACTGTGGGACGGGGCAAGATGGCGACGGCATAGGTGAACTGGTGAGATTCTCTGAACGGACCAAGACTGCAAACTGCTGAATAGACAGACTGTAAAGCAGAGGGAAAAGTGAACAAAACCAGAAGACCCTCATAAGGAAGAACAGGTCATTGCAGAAGAGAAATAAAAGCAACCCCACCTTCCCTCAAAAACAGAATTGAAGAGGGGGAGGGAAAGGGGTAAAGGGAGAAAAATCTACAGAAATGAAGAAAAACCAAAAGAAGAGTATGGGTCTCTCCCAGACGCCTGGGAGAGCAGACACTGAGAAAACTGACTTTGGAATACAAACAATGAAAAGTCCCCAGAATGAAGGGTCTCAAAATGCAAATGTAGATATCAAAACAATAATGGAGAGATTAAAAAGAATTGAGGAGACACAAGAAGAAACTAGGAAGGAGCTGATATCTGAGATAACAGTAATAAAGAATACTGTGAATGAAATAAATAACAAATTGATAAGCATGGAAAGCAGAATTACCCAAGCAGAAGAAAGAATCTCAGAGCTTGAGGACCAAATTATAGAAATAACCCAAACTTTTAAAAACACAGAAAATAAGCTAAAAAAGACAGAACAAAACCTTCAAGAGATGAGTGACTACCTCAAGAGGCCTAACCTAAGAATAATCGGACTCCCTGAGGCAGAAAGAGAAACAGAGACCACATTGGAACAAACTTTCCACGAGATCATTCAAGAAAATTTCCCTCATCTAATCAGTGATACAAAAATTCAAACACAAGAGATTCAGAGAACCCCCGCAAGACAACAAATGAGAAGACCAACTCCTAGACACATAATAATTCGCCTAAATAAAGTAGGCACAAAAGAAAAAATCCTAAAGGCAGCAAGAGAAAAAGGCCAGATCACCCACCATGGAAGACCAATCAGAATAGCAGCAGATTTATCTGCAGAAACCCTGCAGGCTAGGAGAGCTTGGAGCCCTATCTCAAAGTCCTAAAGGATAAACAATTTCAACCAAGAATAACCTACCCAGCCAAGCTAAGCTTCATCCGTGAGGGAGAATTAAAATCTTTCCCAGATATCCAATCCCTAAGAACTTATGCAGCCACAAAACCATCTCTACATGAAACACTTAAGAAAGTACTAAACACAGAAGAAAAAGAAAAAAGAACAACGTTCTTCACAAGAGTACAGGGAAAAGAATAAAATATACATGAACCAACCCCAAAAGCAAAAGAAAGACAAAAAAAAAAGAAAAAGAAAAAAGAAGTGGAAGAACAATAACTCAATAAGAACTCCATGATAGGGATGAACTCTCACATTTCAATAATTAGTCTGAATGTGAATGGACTAAACGCACCACTGAAAAGACATAGAATGACAAAATGGATAAAATATCACCAGGCAACAATATACTGCCTTCAAGAGACCCATCTCACTTGAAAGGACATACACAGACTCAAAGTAAGAGGATGGGAAACAAATTTTCAGGCGAATGGAACACAAAAGAAAGGAGGAGTCGCGATCCTAATTTCAGACAAAATACCATTTAAGCTATCAAAAATTAAAAAAGATACAGAGGGCCACTACATAATGATAAAAGGTTCACTCCATCAACAAGAAATATCTATCCTAAACATATATGCACCCAACATAGGCGCACCAACATTCATAAAGCAACTTCTAGGAAAACTAAAGAAAGACATTGATTCTAACACCATAATAACTGGGGACTTTAATATACCACTCACAACCTTAGACAGATCATCAGGACAAAAAATCAGCAAGGAGATCCGGAACCTCAATGAGACTCTGGACCAAATGGACTTAATTGATACCTATAGAACACTCCATCCAAAGACCACAGAATACACATTCTACTCATCACCACATGGAACATATTCTAAGATCGACCACATAATTGGACACAAATCAAGTATAAGCAAATTTAAAAGGACTGAAATTCTACATGCACCTTCTCAGACCACAGTGGAATAAAAATAAACATTGACACCAACAAAGTCCCCCCAAAACCCACAAAGACATGGACACTAAACAGCATGATGCTAAATAACTCCTGGGTCAATGATGACATCAAAATAGAGATCAAAAGATACCTGGAAACAAATGAAAATAAAGAAACATCTTACCAAAATCTCTGGGATGCCTTAAAAGCTGTAATAGGAGGGGAATTTATATCCCTGCAAACACATATGAGGAAAATGGAAGGAACAGAAATTGACAACCTAACAAGCCACCTAAAGAAGCTGGAAAAGCAAGACCACAAAAACCCTAATTTCAGCAGAAGAATCCAGATCACCAAAATAAAAGCCCAAATCCAGGACTGATAGAAGACAAAAAGATAATACAAAAAATCAATGAAACAAAAAGCTGGTTCTTCGAAAGGGTAAACAAGATTGATGGTCCCCTAGCTAGACTGACCAAGCTAAAAACGAGAAAAAAACCAAATAAGCATAATCAGAAACACAAAAGATGAAGTCACATCTGACCCTGAAGAAATACAAAAGATCATTAGAGACTACTACGTACACTTGTATGGAAACAAACTTGAAAACCAGAAGGAAATGGAAGACTTTCTGACATCACACAACCTACCTAGGTTGGAACAAGAAGAAATTGAGACCCTAAATAAACCATAACAATCAAGGAAATCGACCACGTATAGAAAACTTCCTACAAAAAAAGCCCTGG